CCGGAGGTCTCAATTCTGCGTTTTAAAGTTTTCACCCAAAGAAGCACTACTAACCACTCCGTGCTACCAACACATCAACAAAATCATGTAAACATTCCTTATTGGAGGGTAGCCATTGGCGGACTATGCTTGGCCAATCATCAAATTATGCTTTTGATTATGCCACAATTATGCCAACAAATATGCTGAATTATGCTGAATTATGCTCGGTTCCACTATGTATTCACGCTATACATAGAGGATTGAGAAACCACGCATACATGTACACACGTGGCCATGCCCTAAGCATAATTTTTGTCTAAACCGAAAGATTATGCCGACCTTACACGTTGGAATCCGTATATTATGCCGGAGCATAATTTTTTGACGAAGTCCCAAGATTATGCCAAATATTATACCGGCATAATCCGCCAAGGGCTATGACAAGGAGTCGTAACTAGGCTCGGCGGATTATGCTCGTGAAATCATGGAATTATGCTTTCATGGATTCTCGCATTATGCTCGCGAAAGCCTCATATTATGCTTTGGCACGCAGGGATACATACTCACTTTGTTGTACTTATGGAGCCTCAAAGTTCGGAAAAGTGTGCCTTTTCGTACTTGCAAGTGGCCATTAGTACAACAAAATACATGAATATCCCCATAGCAAGATGACCATGCATGCTAGAGATCAACATGGAAAGAGAAAACATGACTCCTTCTATTCATTAGTTGATTTCTTTTGAAAAAAGATTTTTTCATTGCTAAATTAGTTTGAGTTACCTTTGAAAATGATCATGTTCAACTGTCTTCGTAATCGTCATACTCGTCGAACCGATGTCACCCTCACCCTGCGAAAAATCAGCCCATCTCTCCCGTAGCTCCACCTCTCCTTCCACCATGACCGAACATCACCTATACCTCATTTTTTTTAAATTATTAGAACAATAACCATAGCTTGCACAGTCGATGGTCTCGATCCAGTGCGCTTCTCTGCACACCTTTTCGGAAAAGTTGCGAAGTAGTTTGTGAAAATGAAGAAAGTTGCGATTTCTTGCAAAACAACGGAAAGTTGCGAAAAAAAGGGACCAGCATCTTTGGAAAAGGGCGACTCCGAACCCTTTACCAGAACGCTGTTAGACTTTTAAATTCAAGAGGTGAATGTCGGCGAGGAGAGATTATGTCCAAGCAGGGTAGGACACTGTGCCCTCTTACTCGCGTATGCTATGAGTGGCCCAGTGCCAGTTCGTTCTGAGGAGATGGTGATAAGCTGCTGTCTTGAACTTTTGGATGTTCTTTGGGTGAAATGGGCAGGGAATGATAGAGGAAGGCAGCTGGTTCCCAATTGGGATGACGGAGTGGGGAAAGGCTCGGCTCACATTGTTCCGGGAATTGGCAGGAAGAACATTCTGTAACTGATGGGGATGCGCGCTGGACAGTCGTACAGCCTGGCGGGTGAGGCGTGTGGTCCTGGGCTGGTGTGTCGGGGATGGAGCCATTCTAGAGAGAAGAGAGGGAGAATTATTGCAAAGGGCTTTCTTTATACAGGAGGCAGAGGGCAGCGATGGTGCGGCGAATTATGAGGCTAGGAAGCCAGCATTGCGGATGTATTGCCTTGATGGCTCGCTCCTGCACCCAGTCTAGCCGATTCAAGTGGGAAGGAGCTGCCCCCATCCAGACGATCGGGCAGTACTCCATAACCTGCCTCTACTATTGACGCTAAAGGAAGTGCTGATCGGTATATTCAACATGTATTTCGACTGCATGGCTTGAGTTCTAGTATTGTATGTGATCGTGATCCAAGATTTACGGCAGCATTTTTTCAGGAATTGTTTGATCGCTTAGGAACGAAACTAGCATTTAGTACTGCCAATCACCCTCAGACAGATGGCCTAACTGAACGAGTAAACAGAATAGTAGAGGATGTGCTGAGGGCTTTTGTAAATCATACGCAAGATAACTGGGATATGCTCCTACCTCTCTGTGAGTTTTCTATCAACAGCGCTACTCAATCATCTACAGGAAACACACCGTTCTTCTTAAATTATGGTCTAAATCCCAGAGCGCCACCCGACTTCCTCAACCCTATTAAGGAAGGCAAAGATTCAGCTGATTGGTTGCAAGCAAGACAAGACGCGGTCAAGATCTCACAAGATGCGCTAGTGGCAGCTCAAGCTCGTCAGGCCTTCTATTCAGATCGGACAAGGGTCGAGGGAAAGCTGAAGGTGGGAGATTTGGGAATGGTCTACCGGGATTTCCTCCTGATTCCTGAAGCTCAGGACCGACCATCCCATAAATTACGCCCCAGGTGGTTTGGCCCCTTTCCTATAACCCAGGTGGTCGGCCCGAATGCCTACAAACTCAAGTTGCCTCATACCAGCCGCTGTCACCCGGTATTTAATGTGTCGGCACTCCGTGCCTACAAGAAGAACGCTATTTCTGATAGGAGACAGCCTACGCCTCCGCCTATCACGGACCTTGATGGTCATACCTGCTACATGGTGGAGAACATTCTCAGTCCCCGACGCCGGCAGAATCAGCTTCAGTACCTAGTCAAGTAGCAAGGCTACTCTGATGCCACTTGGGAGCCTCAACATTATTTTGTTGGATGAATCTGGTAATGACATTGTTCCACTTCAGAAGTACCAAACCTTGGCTTCTGCCCGCTGAGTTTTGCAGTTGAACTTCTAGTTTTCACCTTACACATTTTTTGAGCTTATTACACTTATTTTTAATTGCATGGAGTTTCAGTCGTCTTATTGTGTTACTTCAGTGCGAAGCCTTTTTTCGTCTCGCACGTGTTTGCGCTTATTGTACTCTATTCCACTTGAGCATTTGGGTTGTAAGCTCCTTCCTCTCCATAGGAGGGGGATGATGTAACAGTTTTCCCATGTTCGCTATAACTTTACACTCCCTTGCACCTCATGCATCTTACGCCTGTCTATTAGCACCTTCATTGCCGCCATTGCCACATGTATACTATCACATTTTGCATATAACTGGTCGAGGCATGCTCCACCAGGCCTCTTACTTTTCAAGTTCGATTAAACCTGTTACACTGCCCAAGTGGTTCTTGGGGTGGTCCAAGCTTGCCTGTTGACGTTGCAGTCCGAGCTGTGACTGACTCCATTAGGGTTCAAATGGTCTGGTCAAGACCGGCGCTCTGCCAACCGATGATGGTTGTAGTCAGGAGCGCTGTTCATACTTTTGCCTTAGACCATCACTTGCCAGAACTGTTGTGGCAGGCCATAGAGAGTAGCCATGAGCGGTTTAGATTTGTCCATTAGCAAGTGAACAACATTCTTGACCAAGCCTAGAAAACACTCTTAATAATAATATGAACAGGTCGCATATTGCCCGCATAAACAAATCATGCGGGGTCATGCATCTGTCAATGATCGTTAACCAGAGTTGCTTGTTGGTGGAAAACACTCTTGCCAATATCAATAATTATGACTCACAAAGGTAACTGTAACACGCTGAGGACCTGCCTTGGACCCAGCTAGGGCGCGGCTATTGTAGTTGTAATATTTTTTTAAATATACACGTGGTTGGTTGGTTGGTTGGTTGGTTTCTTTTAATTCGCATAATAGACGGGAACTACAAGTCATATAAAAGGTGAATGAACAAGTCGCCTTTTTAGAAATGAATAGAAAGGACAGGAATTTGTTGAGGCTGCAGATTATTACGAAAGAAAATGGACCTGACAGAGGAGTCAAACGAGTAACAGGGGAGGGGCGGGCCAGTCAGAGCAACTACATTTATGCTAAACTTCTGTTTTGCCTCGGGCCGAGCATCATCCGGCAGCAGGTACCAGAGTGCAGATCCTGCGACGGAAGGCCGAGAAGCGACCAGAGTGAGTGGAGTACCGGTACTAGTACTAGTATGGCTGACTTCAACCACTGGACCACTGATGACGGCTTCTCGTGCTAGCATCCCGGTGCAGTAAAACCTGTAGCTAAAGACCACCGTGACTAGCGATCAGCCTGGTACTACAGACCACTTCACCAGGCACGGACGGTCTCACATTCATATACAGTAAAACCTGTAACTAACGACCACCCCTTGGGACCAGAGAAAGTGGTCTTTAGTGGCAGGTGGTCCTTAGTTAGAGGTTTGCACCGCACAACCATAATTATGAATGTGAGACCGTCCGTGCCTGGCGAAATGGTCTGTAGTACCAGGCTGGTACTAGGCGGTGGTCTTTACTAGTATTTACAGGTTTTTCTGTATGGTTGTGCGGTGCAAACCTCTAACTAAGGACCACCTGCCACTAAAGACCGCTTTCTCTGGCCCCAAGGTGTGGTCGTTAGTCACAGGTTTTAATGTACATGTAGATGGCTTTCATGAAAGTATTATTAGCCTGAGCTTCGGAGCAAGCCCTCCCTTCCTCACTCCGAAACGAACATCTCGGAGTACTTACGGTATACAGTTCTGCTAGGTGAAGTCTGATCCCACGTGCATATTTGGCGCCTTGGACTTGCACTGTGACGCCCAGGCCCCTTGATGGCCTGAGAGCCTGCAAGGGTCATGTTACTTATGTACTCCTAACAGTAGTAATCTTTCAAGAGTGGTGCCAATTGCTGCTTGATACTTCAGTACACATGTAGTGACTGTACAGCAAAGCCAAGGGCACCGTTCATTTTTCAGGGATAGCAGTCAATGAACAAATCAGTATACAATGTAGCTTTGAAGTTTCGTGCGCAGAATCACCGCGGCGACAGTTTGTCCTGGGTGAGGTTGGTTGAAGGGCCGAAACACTGATTGCCATAAAGGGAGCTGAGTCAGTTGATAGTTGACCATGACTAGGTTATACAAGAGGTAACAGGATGTATTCTCACCAGCCCCACTGTGACACCAGTATAGTCTGTAAGTTATAATAATGCATGTCGCCCTCTGTTTCTTATCTAGCAAGGAAGGATACTGAGCCAATATTAACATTTAGTGTAAAATAAAAGGACTCGCTCAATCGAAAAGGACACATGCCTCGATGTGCCCTTTGGCATGATTTTCAACACAGCAAGGATAACAGTTAATTATTTGAAGATTCTTTTCCATAGTAAGAAAGCAGCTGTCTCAGTGCCAATGATGGTGCATGGACGTGCAGGAACCAACTGCAGCAGATACACTAGTCGCATAGGCAAGAAGCACATAGCAAGCATTGCTCGGCTGTGATTGTGGCGGAACGAAGCCGTTACTAAAATAGAATGCACTCAAAGCCATTACTAAACAGAATGCACTCAAAGCCGTGAGAACTACAAATAATTACTTCAAAGTATATTGTCAAGTTGTGACCCTGATGGCGCTACAATGTAGCATCCATCCAAGTTACGGAGTAAAAGTTCGACTACAGTACCGAGGCTCAATGAAATCCAATCCAGCACGTGAATGCCATGACGGACGCTGTGCAGCCCTAGACCTGCGGACACTGGAATGTGAACAGGCGCTGTGCGGCGACTTGGTCTTTGTGATTGGATTTCATTGAGCAGCACTGCAATTTACCTAAATGACATCTCATTTGAAAATTGATGGAGGTTGCCATGACAACACCAAGGGATGAACTCAACGCTGTAGCCATGTTACTTCTGCGATGATTCAGAGCCCACCACCACCACCACTACCACCACCGCCGCCGCCTTCCAGGCTGCACCTTTTATCTATTTCTCGAACCGATTGGCAACACAAATTCTGCGCTATTCCGGCTTGAGCTCTGAAGCACAAGAAGAAGCTAGTGAGTGGTTGCCGTGTCATCTGCAGTGGAGTAGCGTACGGTGGCGCGCCGATGGTTGCAAAACCAGTTGTTCAGCTGCTTGGACGTCATGCCGACTTTCAGCAGGAGGCGCCCGCGGTCTTCCATTGTCGGGTAGCAACCATGCTCACGAGCCCAATCCTCTAATATGCCGGTGCACGTTTCGCAGCGAAACTTTCTTTTCCCCGTCAACAGCGAATCTTTTGGCTTCCTGGAAGACGAACAAGATCGAAACCAGAGAAGAGTACATAGAATTAAACTGGCTGCAAGTTGACAATTTACTGGCCCTGCTATTTGTGAAGTATGTGCCAACAACTGCTGAACACAACACCTCATCAGCACTGTGGAAGTTGTTGCCAAGGGTTTCAAAAGGGAAGTGGAAAAACAACAGTCGACTCTGGCTCGTTAGGGCTAGCCTAGCTGAGCAAATATGCCGACGTTTTGGTTGCGATATGCTTTTCCAATCCCTTGAAAAGTGGCAATAATAATTTACCAAGAATGTAGCTCTTTATCTATAACTCGGAAGTAGCGGCAGACTTGGCCATTTGAAAATAATTTGAACTGGCCAACCCTCCACAATGCGCTCTTGGCCCACATTCACAACACCATACCCCATAGCAAGGAAGTAATGTTCACTATGGAGTATGGTGTTGTGACTGTGGGCCAAGAGTGCGTTGTCACCGGGAGAGTTGGGCAGTTCAAATTATCTAAAAATCAGCAAAAAAATTGCATCTATATTTTGAAAATTCACACTTCAAAAATAAAAAATAAACACTAATGAAAACTGCTTCACCCCCCCCCCCCCTTAATGGCCAGGGCGTGCAACGTTTTAGCACAATTTCGGACAGAGAATGCTGAGACATTCAACGACCTGATACTGAGCCCATCCACAGCTCATCGGGGCTAATGGGTCACGGTCCTTTCAACATGGAATGTTCGTGGTCAGGGGTGATAATCCACCGATAGGCCATCGAGATAGACACAAGCTACATCCCGCGGCTCCACAGAATGCACAGCTGATCGGCTGATGGTGGCTGTGATTAGGCAAGACTATTGAATAGTACACAGAGCTGCAACAGTCACGTGATATCCCAATGATATTTAAATAATTTTGATAGATTTCAAAGCCTCCAATATCACGTGACTGTTGCAGCTCTGTGTAGTATTCAATAGTCTTGCCTAATCGATGTTCAACTGTATCAAGAATCATAATTCCAAAAAGCGCAGAGAAAATCCTTTAGGATTCCGACTCAGGGTGGTATTGGTTGTAAATGGATTCCTGAAATTCTCGTCTTGGGCTACAAGTTTCCAGCAACAACAATGTAAAGCAGCAACGACCATCCTTGAGTCTCAACTTTGCCAGGGATTTCTTATCCCAATACTATTAAATAATTTTGATAGATTTCAAAGCCTCCAATAAGAAATCCCTGGCAAAGTTTAGACTCAGATCAAGGATGGTCGTTGCTGCTTTACATTGTTTTTGCTGGAAACTTGTAGCCCAAGACCAGAATTTCAGGAATCCATTTACAACCAATACCACCCTGAGTCGGAATCCTAAAGGATTTTCTCTGCGCTTATTGGAATTATGATTCTTGATACAGTTGAACATCGACGCTGCACATTTTCGTAGTTTGCACGCTCCAAGTGCACATACGCCATGACCCGATCTCACCAAACTTCCCACGAAAGTTCATTTCGTGTTCCCTGCAAGTTTCGCGTCCAAAGCTGCGAAAGTTCGTGCGAAGTTTCTCACTTTGTGACGTAACAGCGAAAGTTCGTGCACACTTTTTCGTTTTGCAGAACCTCTGTAATGTCACATTGGGTATTGTTTCCAGCAATAGCGCACTATTACCTCACTGGACTCGGATGGAGAGCCAAGGATAAATTTATAGTAAAGAACGCTATATTGTCCACTAACAGCACCAGTTACTAAACAATAACTTGTAGATTCTTGGTCCTTTTTTCTTTATTTAATACCTCACCAGTATTACCTTACCAGGCAGGCACAGTGGGTTGGTCAAAGACCATGATTGAGATACAAGAGGTACCTGGTTCAAGTCCTGCCTGGGAGCGGTTTTTCCAGCCGTGCTGCTACCCACAGTCAACTGGGAACTTGTGGCCAGGCACAAGGGGTACATGGATGCAGCTAATGGGGTCGTTTTCGGCACTTGTGCCAGTGGTTGTGAGACTTACCCACTCACCCCCACCGTTAGGCGCTGCACCTGCCGCTAGGGTTTATTGGGTGTTAGCGGCCGTCGTGAGTTCCCTTCGGTAACGGATACGATAATTTACTTTTTTTTTTTTTTTTTTTTAGTATTACCTTATTATTTTTGATTGCTAACTACCGGAATCCAGCTCCCCTGATGTACCAGCCATTATCTATCAGTATCATATTATTATTATCTAGTATTATTGCCTCAACTGTTCTTGTCGTTGACGGAACCATAACTGATGTTAGAACTTGGCCATTTCCTTCCGCCCTGCCGGACTCTTGTAGTTCTTTTAAACTCTTCTACTTCTGTTTTCTCATCTCCTCTTCATTCGCTTCTCTGCAGTGGTATCACTGTCATTAGGCCATTTCCCTGTTCTGGCTGCCACTCTAAATGAATACAAATACATACAATACAAATATTACTTCACACTAGAACTTACAGTCTGGTGGGACGAGTTCTAACGTGGAACGGGCAGATTTGAAATGTTTCCCAGAAGGAGCCCGACTTTGACGGAGGACCGGCGACATGCGACCTATCTCCGACGTGCAAATGAAGGTACTGCGATGGCTGCTGGTGGGGCGTCTGCGCATGCCGGACACCTGTTTCCCAGCGATTCACACCGGGATATGGCGGCCAGTGCTGTGTGGCTTGCTGCCCCATGTATTGCTGCTGCTGTTGCTGCTGTGATGGAGTAGGTATTGGACCTGCCGAATGCGCACTGTGTTCGGGAGACAGCTGACCTTGGGCCATCGGGCCCATGCCCTGGGGTAGTAGGGCAGGAGGGTTGCTAGGCATACCGAATGAAGCGGTGGGCGACTGTTGGTACTGGCCCGACACCCTTGAAATGCCGCCCACCATACCGGCCGTTGTACAGGGCTGTGTGTAGGCCTGTTGATTAGGATAGTGAGCGCTGACACCCGCACTACTTCCGACCGCACCTAGTGTGGGCCCTGAAGCGGGTGCACTCTGACCGACTACTGGCTCCCAGCCTGCTCCAGAGTGTACCGTTGCCGGCTGTGATGCGAGTGCTGCTGGCATTGCGGAATTGTGTGCGTACGGTGTTGCAGAGTGTTGCTGCTGCTGCTGCTGCTGAGGATGATGATGGTGCTGTGGATGGTGGTGGTGGTGGTGCTGCTGATGGTGATGCTGGTCATGTGGATAGTTCTCTGGAGCACTATGCTGTCTGGTAATAGCTGCTGTGAGCGGTGGAGCCACGTGTTGTTGGCCAAACGGAAACGAGGGAAGACCGTCCTCCCCGGCATGAGGGTACTGGCCTGTCGAGATTGGTGACGCTATGCATGACGTTGGAGGCTGATGGGCTTGCGACGTTGACGGCATTCTCGATGCTTCTCCGTATGTGACAGGCGTCATTGGAGAGAGAGGTGCTTGCGCAAGACAGGTTTGAACACTGGGACTGGTGGCGCCGATCTGTTTGGATGTGGCCGTGGGCACGAGACTTGGTACATTGCCAGCAATAGGGAATCGGTCTTTGGTTCTCCAATCCTGGTGGGGATCCCACGGACCTCCGTTACCCGCAACAAACTGCTCACCCGGCTCAATGCGTCTGTGTGCATGTGGCCTCGTTGACTCTTCTAAGGGTCGGGCTGTCTTTGCATTTTGAACCTGTCCAGTTTGGTAGGCTGCAGTAGCTATCACAAAAAAACACATGCACACACACATACAAACACACACAGTCATATAAATACACATTCACATACACGTAGACATGCAGGAACACACACATAATAAATACACACACATATATACGTGTATACATGCAAGAACACACACACACACATTCAGGTGTCCAGACAAACACAGACACGCCGCATGTTCATTCGTCTATACTCAGACAGAGATGCGCAGGACCACTTGAGCCAACAATACATGCAGTCATGCTCACGGTATTCCAGACATCGTTGACGAAACATGACTAACTTGTCTTAAACATCCATTAGCAAGCCCTCTAGTGATGCCCGGTCCACCCAGTGGGCTCTCAATGCATACAGGAATATGGAGTGTTCAACCTTATTTGGTAGTTGGATTATCCTCGTACGTGTATAGCCTAAACAATGACAAGCCCAAGGAGTTGCTGCTGTGGCTTGTTTTGCCTCGGCCTGTGCTGGGTTTCTGTCCTGCATGTAGGTCCTGTCGGGCAATGATGTCATCACCTTCAGGGGCATATTTCAAAAGACTTTTCTTAGTTTCAGACAATACTTGATGCATGGAATGCGAACACTTATCAGGAGGTGTGTGCTGCAGGAAGTCACTACACATTTGTCCCTAATCAAGGTGCTCATTCCATCTCAACAATTCTCAACAGTCAGTCACCTCTGGTTACGCTAGTCGCATTTTTCTTGGTCCCGTACAACAACCGGCGATGCGTGTGTGTGCCTGACAGTCTTCATGCTATCTAATTCTATTCGTCACAAGCAGGATACGTGCGATACTATTTGTTCAAGGCATGCAGGGCACCAGGTTCCATAACCCCTCGAAGTGGAGAAACATGGTTCTGTTTCGACTGACCTTGGTTGGGGTACCAGGCCGATGCGAGTGTTGACGAGTCGAAGCTGGTGGCGGACGATGTGGCGTGTCGGTCCGGCGAGTGCTTTGCTCCGAGCGAGTAGCTGGATACACCGCTGCTGCCTGTGCCTGCGCCAACACCACCGGCCATTGTGTTGCTAGGTGTGGACGGCATCATTCTCTGGGCAGTGCAGACCGGGTAGCAAAGCTCTTCCTTGATTGGCGCTACGGGCAGCATAGCTAGCATGATCTGTTCATTGGTACGCAGAGTTTCTGACAGTCACAGCAACAACAAGTGCAAGCTAGGGCACTGCCCTGTACAGAAAACATGTTGTACAGAAACATTCCAGATTACTTGTATGGTGACATTCGAGGATATGCCACATTCTCTGACTTGTTTCTGGAACAAAAATTAACGATACTGTACCAGTACTTCAGAAGTACTAAGCATTCTGCGCAGTTCAGTTGATTCAGACAACACGCATGCACACATGCACAACACAGGCACGCACGCACACGCGCACATGCGCGCACACACACACACACTAATGAACACATGCACGTCAGATGGCAGAAGCCTCACTATATCTAATCTTCGGGGCCAAGTTTGAATTTGAATATCTCCGTAGCATTGCCTTCTACTGCTCTTTGAGAGAGAAAGAGGAGGGTGTGACGGGAACAGGGGAGAGAGAAATGGAGAGAGAGAGAGTGTGTGTGTGTGTGTGCGTGCGTGTGTGTGTGTGTGTGTGTCTGTGTGTGTGTGTGAGAGAGAGAGATAGATAGAGAGAGAGAGAGAGAGAGAGAGAGAAAGAGAGAGAGAGAGAGAGAGAGAGAGAGAGATAGATAGATAGATAGATAGATAGATAGAGATAGAGAGAGAGAGAGAGAGAGAGAGAGAGAGAGAGAGAGAGAGAGAGAGAGAGAGAGAGAGAGAGAGAGAGAGAGAGGGAGCAAGCGAGCGAGAGACAGAAAAAGAGAGAAAGACAGGAGAATGAGACAGGAAGAAGAGAAGAGGGGAGGAGGGGAAGAAGGAAAGGAGAGTTACTACGTTATCACGCACACATCTCAGTTACTACCTTACCTTTTAGCGGGCAAGTTGGCTACCGTCGACCTCTTGCACAAAAGCACAGTTTCAGTTTATACTTGTACGCCTGTGCAAGAAGATGGACAGAAAAAGATATGCAAGAACAGTCAGAGTACTAATAGCAGCGGTACCAACAGCTGCAGCAGCAGAAGCAAGCCCAGAACACTCAGATACTAACTGTGATATTAGCATGAGTACATAAGCTATAGAAAATAATGACTTCCTGCACAACGGTTTCACACAAGAAAGCGGCTTACATTACCACGGCCTTAACCATAGGTTCAGTCACCGACAAGAGATCATCAGACTGGCAGAACATCAGCATGAGCAATGCTTTCGAAAAGGGAATGCTTTACGGCAAGTTTCCAACCGTCTTAACAGCTAGACACATCCTGTCACTTCCAGACTACTTTGTATCCTTTTTCTGGTTATTCTAGTATAAGTCACCATACCCTGCTTCAAGTATAGAGTGTGCTCTAAGCTTAGAGAGTGACGCTTTATGTAGTTTTGCACTAACAAGACACACCACAGTTTCTGGGACATCGTCGTACTTCCATCCGAACTAGTGGACGTTAGCACTTTACTTTCTTTTAGCCTGTTCAACTTCATGCCAGTTACTGAGTACTACAGGGTGAAGGCAGAGCAGCTGAGCTGTTATGCAAAGCACAGCAGTGAACTTAGGCTATGCTACAATACACTAGTGAGTAATGGCGAAGGAATCACAGCCCGGCCATCCACAGCTGGAGTAGCCAGGTGGTGGTCTGCTCACTTTGCACTGGGCGTAGCAGTGGTACTGGGGCTGTTTGCACCACTTGATACCAGGCCTGCTCTAGTTCATTTGCACCAGCTTTCGTGTCGTGAGACAAATGCGTTGTCTGATCGGAGGGGCAATTTCCACCTACCTATGTATTACATGCAGTCCACTTGTTGTACAACACTAAGTGACTGGCAGGCTACATGCGATTTAACCACGGAAGTTACGAAGGTGAGCAGATGAGGTGGAATGCACGAATGCGCGCCAATGCGAGAGAGAGAGAGAGAGAGAGAGAGATAGAGATAGAGATAGAGATAGATAGAGAGATACATAGATAGGGAGAGATACATAGGTAGAGAGAGAGAGGGAGAGAGGGAGATAGATAGATAGATAGATAGATAGATAAAGAGAGAGAGAGAGGGAGTGCCACACCATGCAGCATGTCTCCGTTGCAAGTATTACCAACGCTCAGAGGAGCACCAAACTGCAGATATCAATACGCTAGATCCCTCTCTCCAAGGTAACCAAACCAAGTTCAATTTCAATTCGCGTCCCAAATGTGTTGGAAAGTGGTGCTAGGCCGAGCACAGATTTGCCAACCTGGATATCACGGTCTGCGGCATAATAATTATGATGCTCGAGTTTGAAACCAGACTCTGATGGAAGCAATTTTTTAATTGTCAACATTCCAGAGAGTTTCTTGCCCAATTGGAATGATCCTGATACTGTTGGTAACACCTGAGAAGGCGTTTGTTGTGTATGACGTGGAAACAGTGCCGGGCCATTGCTTACCGAGGATCTCGAAACCAGCTACTTCGAGGGAAGATTTTGGTTGAATTCCCTCTGAGGTGCACACGCTTGTGATCTATGTTGCGCTCCTTCGGTTATTGCGTGCCTCCAATCGAATCCCTCTCCTATCGTGCTATGCTTCCACATACGACTAGAGAACGAAAGCAGATTCTACTCATGTGCAACCTGTCTAGCTGGCTCACTGGTAGCATCTCTCTAGCTGAATTGCCACACATCCCCACGAGATCGGACCTCCCGTAACACGGTATTCCCGGTCATCCAAAGAATAGTGTTAGGAGACCTCCCTGCCAGCTTCCAACAAGCAAGCTCAACTCATGATATCGGTGCATGCATCCTGACACTGATGTTGAGTTATCACGGCACAGCGGAGCACCATGACCGATGACCAAAGAGGATGAGTATTGTCAACGGTTGGATGCTATTGATGTCGGGGCTGTCCAGCGGCACTGTGCCGTGGGGTTTACTGGTCGGCCACAACCATGTTTTGACCTGCAACAATGCAGTCTGCCGCGGATCTGACTAACGCCAACATCCTTTATCCCTGTGTCTACGGCAAGTCAGCTGAGCCAACATAGACCAGCCTTGCGCATGAGCTTGGCCACGGGGCGCTTCTCAATGACAAGCTTGCAAGACGGAGAACAGCAGGCAACAGATGCAGCAGTTTCCTTTTTGGATACAAGTTGCAACCGGCTGCATGCCTGCCTGCGACCCATGACCTTAATCTTAGCAAATCTGTCCAGCACTCTGAAACACTATCCCTCGCCCCAATTGCAGGCACCCGCTGATCCTAGCTCTGAGCAGTGCATACGTTTCAGGTCCGATGCCAAGTCTGCAGCAGTGACACCACCGCATCCACTGCAGTATCATCGGCAGCATACTGTTGCCTTCACCTGTCAAATGTGACTCTGATCATGTAGCAGATGGTGGCCTGTCCTGGTTTTGACTATTTCCAGCCCGATATATCAATGTACCATGACCTGCGGGCCACGCCAGCTTTCTTCAACATTCAAGAAAATGTCATGGCAGAAGAAAGGACAGGCAAATGTTTGGAACCTGATGGATATGCACGATATTTGCACTGGTTTTGAAAGCAATTAAATCCAGCAAGTGGGGGTGGATACGGCAAGAAAACAAGGCAGGATTTTTATCTGCTAGCCGGCTGACTATTTTGTGCTTCATGTTCCTCTCCTAGACTAGCTACTTTCATTATCCTCTGGATAAAATGCAAGAATTGAACATCCATCCTTCAGCTACCTACAAACTCTCAGACTTGTCTGGGTAGTACGCTAATTTAATGTGTTCAAAGCATTCTTCCGGGGGTCTCTGACACTGCGTATTACTTACCTTCCTAAACCAGTAGGTTCACCGGCACAGTGGAGCCAATTCCTTTTCCGCCAGCACTTTTCACCAGGTTTTCAGGCGACCCTTTCAGGTCCACCACGGCGGGCTTACCGCAATTCGCCCACTCGATTTGAACGTATTTCCTGGCCTTGCCTAGGCGCCAGGTTATCGAATCTCGATCAGATGTTGACATGAATCGGCAAAATCTTGAGGTTCGACTGGGCTCTCATCTTCGACAACGACAGCTTGCCTCTTACTGAGTATTACTAATAGCCGGAATTCATCGATGGACGCATGCACTCTGCCATCTTTTGCAGCCCATCAAATATTCAAGATGGGCATGCATGATGGGGAGTAGACCTACTAATCGCGCCAAGTCACTAAGTGCTGCTATCTACTCAGTATGTAGCGGGAATGCAGTGGCCAGAGGCACGCGTGCGTACAAAATCCTTTATCCAAGATTGTCAAGGGCAAAACAATCAGGCCGATGACCGTGTACATAACAACATGATTAGTGTGTGACTGATGCCTTGATGGCGGTAGTGTTTCGCTGGAAGCGCGCGAGGGAGAGATAGTGTGAACTCTAAGTTCTTGCCCGTGTATTGTTGCGATGAATGTATCCGCTTGCAGTACTATTGTGCACCAGCTGTTCTTGTGCCGGGCTGGGAACGAACTCGAAACATGGGTCGCACACGGGTAGGACCCCGCTGACTGGGCATGTTTTACGGGCAGCGCGAATGATTCACAAGGAAAGAATTCAGAGAATTGCCTGTAACACCCTGTTGGCATACAAGATCAGAATACCCAGGCCTTTGAGCCCCACTCTCACTCACCTAAATAGCCCCAGTGACGGATGATGTTGCTATTGAAGGGCTAAATCGCGAGCACCAGCACCAGCACCTCTAATCAGAGCTCCAAGCAGCAGGTTTCGTCGCCTCCCCGTGCCAACAGCAATAGCGTCAGTAGGAGAGCTGGTGAGGAGGAGAGATGTATCCGGACGCGGAACGCTCAGCCCAAGTTCGGACGAGGGGAAAATAGCCCGGAGATACGGTCGCCTGAAGGCGTGTAGATACCTGATACAAGACAAGGCAAAGTGAATATGCATTACAGCTCCGAAGACACCGCATGGGTGCGTCAGTGCGAGAGGGGTGTACTACCGCACACTATCACACACACTATCTTACACAGTGGAATCTTTTGTGGCCAGCTCACCAGATGAAAGAAAGTGGAAGGGGTCACCCTCAGTGGTCATCCAGTCACCTGTATCGGATACGACACACTCCTTCTTGGTTTCTTACCAGATGGTCCTGTTGTCGTTTTGCAAACCGACCGTCTTGCTTGTCGACCGAGGCGTCGCACGCTGGTGAAAAATGATCCTCAAAGACTCGCCGACCTTGTGCCTATATGATATGTCTTGCGTAGTCGCAAAACGTTGGGACTGTGATCGCGCTGTTCAGGAGGAGACTAGCTCGAGAGCGTGTGTTGACGGGCGCCTTATGCCCCTATATTGTAATGCGTATCGCTACTCGTGCTGGGCAGCTAGGGTGGGCGGGTGCACACGTTTACCAGTACTACACGTCTTAGACAACTACCGTGTATTTAGCTGCTGGATAGTAGGATCCCCCATCAGTATCACTATCAGGCTATCCGACTACACACAATACCTAACAACACAATCATTACATACATTGTTATTGTCTTTCTTACACGTGCACCCACCAATGTTCCCGGCGGTGGGCGTCAGGTGACCACTAGTCCGTGTTCAGTGGAGAGACTCTTGCACAAGACCACCGCAGTGGCTCCAGATTCTGCTGGTGATGCTGCTACCCACACTCACGGACGCACTGAAGGTGATTCGCGCGAAGAGACGGGGAGGCGTCCGTCACAGGATGACGGAGAATGGAGAGTGTTGGGAAGTCGGACACTGCGATATCTCCACTACCCGACACACGAGCGGCTGAACGGCAGTTGTACACGGTGAGAAGTGACTTTCAGCGGACCAGGCCAGCGAGCAGTCGCTAAGACCGCACAGCTCTCGACGTTATCATGATCCCTAAACAAGGAAGCTCTGACTGTCCGTGGCGTGACTCGCCAGATCAGCTCAGCCCGTGGCGCTAGCAGATGCTATTCAGATTCTTGGCGGAGGTCTCATCCCATACTAGTGTGCGGTTACAATGGGTGTGCTGAGGTGATCCTCCCTTGATGCTGCCACTCAACTGTGGCCGTAAAGGGCAGCAGAAACGGATCATGGAATCTCCAACTTTTGACCGAGAGGCTGCGGGGTCGCTACCCGCTAATGGTGGGTGGCTGAGAACCCAGCGTCAGCGATTTCGGTTATGGAATGTTCTCAGAACTGCACCTGTTTGGAGCCACCAGTCAGCGATGTGTTCGTGTTACCAAGTAACGGACGACAGATTACTAATGGGTTTGGCCGCTTGACAAGAGCGCTTCGTCTTGACAGGCTAATGGTCATATAATGATCCGCAGCGTTACCCCGGACCAAGCTCGAGTGGTAGGGCTGTTGACAAAGGGCCTGGGAGCGTACTAGACAAGATGTCAACGGTGGTGACGTCCCGTGTCTCCGATCACATGCCCATCACACTGCTATGCATGCCATCCTTGGGCCAGTGGGGGCTGCATGCTGCCTGGCTCTTCATGGTCGTCCAAGTGTGCGGTTTCCTTGACCGACTGGCACTGTGAGACTACTACGAGTACGCACGATACTCACGATAGCGTATCTATGATATAATGCCTAGTAAACTCAATACTGCTGACTTCTGGGTGTATTTTTTAAAGTTATGTTAACGTCTGCCACGAAAAGTCCTCGACACACAATGTGAAGCTTTGCACACTCATACAACACCTTACGATTGACAAAGAGTCGACTCGTCAGAACAATTTGAGCGTCCAGTAAACAGAAAAGATTTTGACATTGGCAGTGACAAAGGTCCTCCCTCTTCAAGTTATTCTGTCCTCACGGTCGCTGTGTGAGACTGGTCTCGGGCGCACGGGAGGGAATATTTATAGCAAATTCCCAAGCGGGCTAATAGTACCACGGCCGGAGAGTGAGAATTAGTTTTGCGAAAGTGTACTGCACTGTACGTGATTTCGATGAGAGGTCCATCTCAATTTGCATTTTACACTCTGCTTTGACATCCCAGTGTGCCCAGAGCCCGGCAGGAGATCTCTCCGACTCTATGCCAAACTCGAACTTCATTAGTACGTCATGCACCTCTCCAAGCTTGTAGGATAACAGGAGAGAATGGCGGCAGAATGCGATGGCTGTTGGCACTCTTCCTTGTCTTGCGGGAACAAGCCTGATCGTTGCGAATCCCTACTGTGGAAGTGTGGGGAAGGGATCGGAGAAATGAATAGAGCGTCAGCTGCATAAGTGCTTGGCAATCCACATCAGCTAAGCGTTTTCATAGTTGACACGGTATGACGCCCAACAATAGATTCACAGAGGATTAAAATACAATTCGCATTTAGAGCGATCCTGACATTGTCGACGATCGCGTGAGCGGTCCACCCTCTTCTAGTATCTGACATGCGAGTATTGTGCCGGAGAACTAGAAAATTTCAGGCGGTCCTCATTCGCTTTTCCTCTTGTTCTTTCTTGCTCAACGTTGTATAGTCACATTATGCAAAGAGATCCAATCAACCAGGTGCACAGCACGATATTCATTCCTGTTGCGGCTAATGTTATTTCGCCAGTTTCATCTGTAGAGATGCGTTGGAGCAAGGTACCGCCAATTTCTACAGCGCGGACTTCATTAGAAGTTTGGTGCCTCAACAGGAAATAGCATCGCCATCGGCTACTACTCTGTCGGGCTCCTACTCGCCACACACGGAGATGTGGACCACCCATGCGCTCCGCTCCACCTCCTAATACCAGGACTGGCTCCAGATACACGATGAAAAAATTGATAAGATGCGATGTACATTCTCCATTGCGTTTTGCAAATAGAAGCTGCAGAAGAGGCAGATGTGGAGAGCATTCGGAATTTGATTTCAGATCTTGCTACCGATTCGCGTTGGTCTGTCAGATGTCCATTCGTTCTTGACTGTGCCATGGGATGTGCGCTCAGAGGGGGTAAATACTTTGTACATTGCAAACTTGACAGCACTGGTGCTGGTTTGGCAGCTGACACACATGCTTGCATGCACAGGCTCAGAGCAAAGACGCTTGGTCAGCTACTGTTCTCAGACTCAGAGTCAGAGTCAGACTCTCCCATAAGAATATCACTATGCATGGTGCTAGCCAGAGAGGATAATAATTACATGTAAATGCACATGCACATGTACGAGCGTGACAGAACATACAATAAAATATAAATTTTGTCAGTTCGAGCACTCTGGCAAGGTATTTTCGGGCCTGGTTTAAATCTGGCGTTGGAAAATTTATTTTTCATTGCCGTATCATGTCCGGCCTCATTTTCTCTGTGCAGCGCTGATGAGTCCACAAGGGACGAAAGAGTTCTGTCCGCAGATTGAGTGTAAGTAATTATAATATGTATGATAGTAAAGGAGGCCGGACATATCCACAGAGTTCGCAGGTAAAGCCGCTGACACGATTGATGATGTTTAAAAGGCTCCCTACACTTCCACGACACGCGGGCACACGAATTAACGTACTCGATTCGCTGAGTTCCGATTTCGGTAGTATCAAACTACTATACCTGTATTTGCGCAGACGATTTCTTATGCCGTTATGGAAGTGCTAGTACTGTGCACCCAAATTATTTCAAGTCCGCTGCTGTAGCTTGACTGCAGACAGCTCAGACTGTTCAGTCCCAGACACAGTTTTACAGTACATGTACAATGTCATGTACATGTACATGTACATAATACTGTCATTGTATGTGTGAGAGTGAGTCCGAATTTGTGCCTATCATCATAGTATGCCCAACCAGGCTAATGAATACACCATCGAGTCAACGACTTCTAGAGGGCGCGGTGTGTAAACCCTTGCTCACGAGCAGAAGTGGTAAAGACGCATGCCATCCGCAGACCTTAGACTATTCTTGGCATTTGCACGTCGTAATTCGGCGAGCTCAAAACGATGAAACAGAACCCAAGATGTCACTGTTCTCACACTAACACGATCCGCACAGGCCATCTACGGGTAGGCATGATTCGTGGGCGACAGCTAGCCATTGACGAGGAACAGCGGCCTACTCATGGCGTCCTCTTCAGACTCAGTTCATTACCAATGAGCAGACACAAAGCATAGGTTCGTTCTAGACGGAAAAGAATCTCAGGACTCCTGTAAAGTGTTTGAGTTGCGCTTCCGCTGCCTGGGTCAGGGCATGTGTTCCCTCTTGACATTATCCGCAAGCATGCTTTCATGGGCAGCCCGTGCTCAAAATGTGAATGTGTTAACCTTTTGAGCACGACGCTACCTGAATGCCTCCCCACGGCAACACCTGCAAAAGTTTAAAGAGTTCGTGGTTCAATCTCTCCGCTCCATCTGACCTGCAGTGATGGGTTGTGGTCGTGGACCTAGAATCAGGAATTTATTTTAGCCAAGCTGTTGTTGCCGTAGAATGACATAGTGTGTAACTGAATCCATAAGACTTAGCCCTATTCCCGGCGTTAGAGGCACTCGTGCCGTGAATCGCGCACAGTGCTGAGGGTGTAACATTCATACATGTGCACAAACACGTCAGCCAGTCATCACCAGCACTCGTACTCGAACCAGGGACCTTCGCTATCCCTGTATCAGCGAGCAATGCTTTAAATTAACCACTGAGCTGACCAGTAATGGCAGTATGGTGTACATGTACATGTACATGTAGCTGTCATCCAACGCAGTGAGTAACAGTTACGTTGCAGAATTGCACTGTCATAATTGGACGGCGTACTGCAGAACAATGGCCAAACAGTGGAAACTGTTGATGAATTGTTGGCACGAGTAAGTGTAAATAGCAGTGGTAAAGCAGTGTAGACTACTTTGCAATATACTAGACCGTCAGAAGTGAAACGTGTCGTTTATTCAACCCATAGTCTATAGAATGTCAGAGATCCTCAGGCTAAATAATAATTGGAACTCAAGTACGTTCCAACTATCATCATGCCCCGAAGCCCAGACTACTCTTTATGGCCTAAGTACACACGTAGAAGCCTTCCGTGGCTCTGTGAGGTACAATGCAGCCGAGACATTCTGCCGTGGGTCCCTTTCGTAGGCAACAGTGTAGTCATTCCATCCATGTACAGTAGCGATTTTACGGCATGGCTAAGTAGCGTTGTCATGGACAAATCATGTTTTCTCTCATTGCAGTAATGAATGGCTTATTGTTGGCTAATCTGACCAATAATCAATCTGCGGGAAGGGTTTTCAACTTTTCACTAAAACTTCCTCTCTTTTTCAACCACTCATTTTGAGTGTTCCGCGTCTGACGACGTCCTTGCGCGTATACACGCTGTCCCAGACGGAGGAGAACCCCAGGCGCATAACGTGTACAGATGTTATGACTACACACTTTGCGACCACTTATACGTGTAGTTCTGGTGCGGTGGTGCGAGCATATTTTCTCTTCCTGGGATTGCCCGCAACAATACAGTCCATTCTCCGGACTTTGGCGTAAGTTGATCGTTCCTAGGAGACAACAGGAGCTCGCTGAGCTTGCTGGTAAACACTCCAGAGGCAGAGTCCTGAGTTGTGCCATTCCTCTCCAAATCACGCCTAATGGGTCTTGGAGGTGCGGGCAGAGGTTGATGGACGAAATGGCGCAAAGAACCTGCATAGCAGTTTGCACGTTCTGCCCACAACTCTTGTCCGCCGCACTGTGGTTGGTTGTGTTGCTGCCAGGCAGTGACACTGAACACTTCATGAGTGTTGTTTTGTCACATTGGACGCAAACTTATCCCCCAGGAGATCGTGGTTGGATTCCACCAGTTTTCCTAAGCCCATAGGACCGACACTTACAGTGGATCACTCGGATTGGATGTTGCACGACGTTTTGAACAACTACTTTTGTTTCCATGAGTAGAACTACTAGTGTTGGTTTATTTTAAAAGTCAGGGAGCGGAAGAATGGGGTGAAAACTGCTAGCTGGCATGCTGTTAATGATCGACCTGGGGCTCTTCACGTATCGTTGGCCTAGGCATTGACTAAAATTTAGTTTCCTTCTGCCGTTCTGGTTCTTCCTACGTGACAAAAGACCGTTGCTAACAAACCTAGATCGATCTGGTGGACACTCCATGTTCTTTCTGACCTAGCTTGGCATGTGAGACAATAAAAAAGACCTTAAATGTAACCACTGTACAGTGTGTATGACTGCACCTGACTCTACACACACACACACACACACGCGCGCGCGCACGCACACACACACAAACACACACA